TTGCAGGTTATTGAAAAGCTCACTCAATTCCAAACAGCACATACATAAAAGTAAAGTAATTAAAAGTCCATACTTAAGCCAAGTGACCTATCCGGTCAGAGTTCATCCAACCTTCTAAAGCATTAGGTAAAAAGAAATACCAATATTGAGATCATTACAAAAGATGTATGTGTAACTGGATCTACCTGTTTGTGTGGTACAAATGGCTCTATGATGAATCTTTTCAGCGGACCACTTGCAGCTCCCACCTGCCAAGTAAATAATCATAGCATTCATTCCAACCTGATTAGTTGGAAACACAGATTAATGAGCATGAGTTGGGTGGGAACAGATTGTGGGAGAAGGGAGGAGAGCTGAGGAAAGACAGGGGTAAGGTCAGGGGGACAGGGGAGTTAACAAGATAAAAGGGAGGAAGGACAGGTAATACACAGAACGGTTGAAGAGTAGAAGATCAGGGACAGAAATGGGATGAAGGAGGTTTCAGAATCTCAGGGAAAGGGAGACAGCAAATCTTGTAAAGGCAAATGTAACTAGAATGGGTAATGGGTTCCAGAATACAAGGGTTCATATAATTCTCTCTGGATAATATACTACTCAATTGCAGGTTACTACCAAGAATTTTGTCACACCTCCCCTGACAATTTGCTTGTACTCATTTATACTCCTAGTTGGAGACAGGTATGTTGAGAGTAAAAGTTTTCCCAAGTACACCACTTTTATCACCCCATCAGGGCTCGAACCTTCCTCCCCCCTTCCCCCTAACGTCTGACATCAACTTATAGTCCAGCACTGTAACCTTGAGCTCTAGGTGAACATGTCTTGTCTCCCACACTTTTCTTATTCAGTATTGTCCAGAGGCACCAGCAGCTGCTGTTTCCACCAGCAAGTTTCCACAAACACATATGTTTTTTAATCATTGCTTTCTTGAATATTGAATAAATAATAAAACAACCGTCCTCTTCTTAAGAAAATTTTAATCTTTGCTTTATTTCCATATCCACAAAAAAAGTGATTAAAACCAGAAAGAAAACAAGAGACAAAAGTAGCAGGAACAGATGATAGCAACATACTGTACATACTTGTACTCTTTTTATAGGTACTGGCTTGTTTCCTGACAACTGCTGTATTTTTTTATCCCATTCTTGTTTCATGCTGTATAATCGAGAAGGCTAAAATACTTAATAGATCAATCACAGACCTGGATATCTTTGCCCATTCTCTCATCAATCCATTTCTTGGCTTCTTGTGAGTTGACATTAACCTTTATAAGACCCAGCTTGCCTCTACGCTTTATAAGCTGATCTGGCTTTACAACAAGTTTCTGAAAAATGAAAATACAAACAAATATATTAAGTATATCTTATGACACATTTTTGTATGTACAGTAGAACCTCCTCCCTTAGCGACGACCTCTGGTAAGCAACCACTTTTTCAGTATACCAAAAGTTATCAAGTCAAATCACTATAAATTGAACCTCTTGTAAGCAAACACCTCTCATTAGCTGCCACATCTCAAAAGTAACCACTTTTAGAGATGCTTGCTTACAATTTTAAATTGTTTTTAACATTGTATAGGTGACTACTTGTCAGATGATTGACTTAATCTCTTATGAGTAGAAACTAAAGATTGTTTTTTAAAGAAATGTTGAGTTAACACATAAATCACAGCATCAATATCGTGTTGGTCCATCATTACTAAACAATCAATGGAAAAAAATTGTGGCTATGCTAAGTTTGCCACCAATTCCAGGTCAGGATGGTTTTAGAATACAACTGTTTGAGTTGAATTTCCCTTTGATCCAGATATGTCATTTCCAAACAAAGAAAAGCTAATATCAAGCCAGTTTGAACTCATGTGAAGCTAAAATAATTTAAAAGTACAACTGATACACTAAAATCTAAAAAAGAAAAATTAACCCATTTATTCAGTTTTGGTAAAAAAGTATAACAGGCGTCAAGAAAGTAGTTTAGTACGTGTTAAAATCAGAACAAAGATAAAACATCAGTAGGGGTAAATTGATGAGATGAAAGGAATTAAAAAACTTTTATTCTGCATATGATAAAGCATTTTGCGTAACCTTGAATGACCTTGATCGCTACAAGTATAATCCTATTCTGTCAATTTCCTTGCTGCGAGCGGTGAAAGGAAAAGCAAAACGGATAACATTGTTTCGAGGAAATAAAGAATATAAACAACTTAATATTTACAGAAATCTTCTTTATTTTTTACACAATGGTCTTCTAAATATGTCAAAGCTCAAAATTCAAGATTGAAAATATAAAATTCGTAAATACATAATAAAATTCAGGAGTCGAGGGATCAAATTATTTTCGCCCCTGGAGGCTGAATGAATGCAGTTGAATATAACGACAAATTTGTTGATAAAACAATGTCTTACCTGGCTTAAAATCCATGGATTGTCTTTGACAAGATCGTCCCAGTTTGTTTCTTGTACAACAACAGCAAATTTGTTCTTGACGTAGCAATTGTTTTGAAGGCACTTCGCAACGAGTGACTTTCCGTCGGTTTCGTAGATGGCTTTAGCCGACATTTTGACAGATCTTCGAGTTTAGATCGCGAAGAGATGGTTGAAAGTGTATGGAAGAAAGTATAATGATGCAATCAAAGTTAAAATAAGTGATTTATTTTTGTACTATCTCAGTGCCACGACTCCACCATATCGAAATCAATGCGCGGTCATGTCGCGTCATATTTGCATGTGTCTGACAAGCCATGTGGCAAGACAGATCGCGTGACATGGGCGTGACGGCCACGTGAAAAGCGTGACAAGCGTGACAGACACGTGAATTGTGTGACTGAACGTCTGTCTGACTACAAGAAATATTCCTGTAAGTTATCGTGAACAAATAAATGATCTAGTCAAAAATTTTTTTGTAGGTTGAATTTGTTTATCGTGACCATTGTTTAGGTGATCATCGAGTACAATTTACATGCATTCATATGTCCGTCAACCTTACGGCAAAAGTTACCACTTAGTCACCGGTCTATTTATACTCAGCATTTTTTGCTTCTCATTTAATTAACCAAAGGATCAATTAGCTAATTTGGTTCACCACAGAAAAATATTTTTTCAGATGGTCTTAGGGTCACTTTCTATACCATCATGTGTGCAACACGTGCAACAAAACTCCCCTCCGCCCTGATAGGAGAAAGAAGAAGGAAAAAAACTCCTAAATCAATTCATTTTTGTTTTATATTTTACCCTTTTTAATGAGTTTAACATGTCAATAAACTGCCGGTAAATTATTTTGGGTATTTCTACCTTTTGTTGCATTTAAGAAAGCAGGACCGGAAGTATACAGTCCGAAAAGTTTTCAGACTGTCTAATGCGTTCACCTGGATGAAACTACAGAGAGGGTCAAAATTCCAAATGAGCCCATTTTTGAAAATTAGTTTACACGCTGTCTTGCATTCCCAAAACACTCCGTAATTTGGTATTTTCATGCTCTCATTTTGTCAAGAGTGACTCAGAAACTGGGAAGGGAACAAACATTTTAAGGGTATGTGAACTTTCTGGTGTCCGTTACGTCTCAACGCTCGCTTCACGCGTTCGTGTCCTGGCCACTATCACACGCGTGCCTCGCTCGTGAGTTTCGAGTGCAAAGGCTGCTTGCGATTAGCAATAAGTTCTAAAATAGTTCATTTTATAGTTTTGTGCTTGGTTGCCAAGCCTTTGAACAGGAGTAAGGTTGACCTTGCTATGATACAAACGTTGTTACTTTTCAAATGCAAATTACTTTGTTATAATGCTAACTAGATACTGGTCTCTATCACAACAAGGTCACCTTCAGCCTCACTCCAAATAAGACTTGGCAACTAAGTACACAATTGTAAAATGGCCTATTACTAAAGTCTGAAAGTTAAATTTTATTTACCAAAACTGAAGCGCCACAATTTTCTTCTTCTTTTTTTCCCTTTTCTGTAATAAGAAATATCATTGTGTGAAATCGAAGATTTTTTTCTAATCCCAAAGCAATCAAACTCTATCGATCGTTTGTATTAGTATGAATATACACCAATTTGGCCACTCCTCCAATGGGGACCAAGACGAAAAAATTGGAAACAAATAAACCTAATGTTATTTTAAAAAAAATCCCAACTGGCAGGAGGCAGACCGGTTGCCTATGATGGTGCAGCAAAGAAGGGGAACTCTGAACAATCGAGAACAAATTCAATGAGTGACAGGGTGGAGGGCTTGAACCCGGGACCACCAGGTTACAAGCCTAGCGCCACAATCACTCTGCCACACTACGTTTTTTGTTCACTTCTCTTTGGATAATTCTCTCTGTTGACTCTCAGGTTGAATCTACTTCCTTTCCCTTTAACTTTCTTTCCACTTTTTGCTTAACTTGGCTGCTTTATAGTTCCCACAGTGGATTGAAAAGAGAAAAATCTTTCGCTGATAACTAACGCATTTAAAAATTCCTAGCCGTCACCACGTGTCTAATGCGACTTTCTTGAATTTAACGGCCACTTTTTGATAAAAAAAAAGGAAGAGAAAAGATTGCCACTCCTCTATGTAACCCCTTCTAGGAGAAAAGCTCGGTACATTTTAATCTAATGAACTGTAAAAGTATGGAAAGCAAACCCCTCCTCCATCAATGAATTTTAGGATATCTCTTTGTCTGTTGCAAACAATTGAAAATCTCTCTCCCACCTTGATTCAAAATTCTTACGAAGACCTCAATGGTAGTGGACGCAAGTTTGAAAATTTACATATGTCGCAGATACTGTTCAATTTTAGTCAAGAAATATCGATCAAATGGCGCGTTTCGACCAATGGAGCCCATGCGATGGATCGAAATTGCAGATCTGTTTGTCCACGAGAAGTCGGCGAGTACATCCAGAAGAAAACCACAACTTAAGGGATAAATAATTTCCAAGTATTATTCATCTTATGATTTCTACCACATACGCTATCCAGGCAGTATCAAAAGATTTTACTTAAAAAAAAAAAAAAAAGAACTATACACTTCATCGCATTTTTCCTATTTACAAAACGAGATGAAGGAATATTGACCGAGTTTATATTAACATTTTTATGTGCAAACGCAATGGTCCCATGTCAACTTAAAAGGAAACACCTCGATCTCGTTCCCAAAGGTCGCACACCACTGGTCCCTTGAGGGCGGGAAACGAAGACCTCGAAGTCCTCGTTTCTCGCCCGCAAGGGATCAATGGGAGCATGGTCTCTGGGAACGAAATTAGAGACACCTTGAAAACCAATAGGTTCTTTTGAAAAACCCAACTACTGTAGCTCAATTCATTATCATTAGCTGTTGATAAACAGTTGAGAACTTAGAAACATGGGTTTAAATATAGGTCCAGCCATGTTTCAAATTATTTACACCTGAGTGTGATAGTCCCGCTGTCGTTGTCTTACATTTTCATTGTGAGTGCGTAGAAGTTCAAATATCGCTTTCACGTCGGAAGAAAGTTTTGTTTCGAGTTTCTCCAATCTAGTGGAGAGATTGTCAAGTTTATTTTCCATCGAGCTGAACGATTTACAACAGTCTTTGCACACATTCGTGTCCCCTTTCTGTGTCTCAGCCGCACAAGAATTACTCGGCACTGCTTCTTCTCTGTGTACAGCTTGATCACACTGAGATGCGGTGTAGTTTCCAGCTTCTGCTTTGATATCCGAATTTTCCAACTTTCCGACCAGTTGAGGTAATAAAAAGCATCCAAGAGCGGATTTTTCAGACGTCGATTGAGCGCCTTCCTTTTTGCTATTCACACTGTTTGATGGAAGATCTAAGTTATTGGGTCTAGGTCGCATTTCGCCTCTCCCCAAATCCACAGGTCCATTCATTGAATTGTAAACATTAGTGGTTCCTTGGGGAACGGCGCCCGCGCTTGAACCATTTGGGGCTATTGGTTTGTGATCAATGTGTGTTTCCATGGTAACAAAGCAATTTTTGTCCTCTTGGACATCTAGGAAATGCTAGGCCAGGATTGAAGAAAATATACGTTAATATTTCGGTAGATGTACTTGGAAAGATAACCACTTTAAATTTTTCATGGCTCACGAACGATAGTGACAGGGTCGAGTACATGTAATCGAGGCTTACTCTTAATCTTCCGCGTACAATTTTATCTACGTTTAACAGGATTTTTGAAAACCAATTTGCAATAGATTAAATTAAATGAAGATGTTAACAACACGGGTTAGGACCTAATTTGACGATCCCGGCCCTATTCTCTCTCTCAATACCTGATGCAAATACAGAGCGCAACATTTCACAAGCATCTACTAGTATATAAAAAAAAGGAATCACACCTCTGATTCGTCTCCACGAAGGTTGTAAGTAATTTCCAGATCTTTAATGAAGTTTTCTCTGAACAACGGGTACTGCCTAAGGATGTGCAGTACATCCTCACGTGAAACAAGCCGCAGTTCGCAATAAGTTAGAGCCCGGATGCTGGCGTTGGAATTCACCACAGGCCTGTCAGGATCAATGGCAAAATTTTCGCCGAAAGAGTCGCCTTTGCCTGAATGAGTGGAGATAGATAGATAGGGAGTAAACCGAAGTTCTACCGATGAAAATGTTCTGGGAAAAATATCACGCTAAAAATTACCGTGTAGTTTTGAAATTTTGTGGGACTTTTACTTTGTGACTTGTGATTTCTGGCGTTTTGAAGGTATGAAGTTTGGGGTTTTAAATGATTGAATTTCTGACGGGAATTAATTTTGCAATTTCCTTCACCACCAGAGGAACATTGTCAAAGAAGGAAACGTAAATCACTGATTACTAACAACGAAGCACACTCTTTTCCTGAGAGAAATTTCCCTGAATTCTAGTAACCATGAAACCTAGGAAATTTACTTAAATGGGTAACGAACAATCCCCAAGACAAATTTTCAGACCAAGGTAGTTTCTAACAATTGATCAAACCTTAATGGGGTGGTCAGTTACAGGACGGCAGGGTGGTAGTTTTTACTAACATATGACCCGAGGGGCCCCGCGCGCTTTTATTGAAAGCATTACGAAAGAAAATCCCCGTATAAAAGCCTTAAGCAATGGTGCACGAACAGCCCCGCGAGAGGCGAGCTTGAAGAAGAAGGGAAGACAAAGAAAGATCGACGGTCATATGATGAAAGTCTTACTGACTGTGTCAGGTCTGGCCGAAGAGGAAAATATTGGACTCTCAATCATGAAGAATGGACCTAGCTGGTCTGTAAATCGGGATCTCGAGTCAAAATTTTCCTCTCCGGCTGAACCTAACACAATCAATACGTTTGCATTAATTTTAAGGAATGGGAGAAAATAGATATGACCTACCCAAAATGGCCATGATTATATCACCGCTGAGTACTTCGACTGTTCCTCGTATCACAAAGTACAAATGATTCACCTCATCTCCCTGGTAGATAATGTAATCCCCCGGGGGGAGGTGAGTGGTCTTAATGCGCAGAGCGAGGGCGCGTAAACATCCCATCGGTGCTGAGGTGAATGCTGGGTAAGTATGCAGAAGGCTTGAATTGAGATGAAGACAAATATCAGCCTGAAGACACTCGGGAAAATGTTTAAGGACCTGTGAGGCGTAAAAACAGAGGTTATGTAACATAACGTTCAGTGTTACTGCAACAATTCAGGTGCTTAGAGAGATACACGAGCTATGATTCGTCCAGAAAAACATCAAATTTTGCTGTAATCATCCCGCACAAGGTAATTATGGTCCTGAAGCTATTCTTTCAAAATGTCCGTTCTGCAATTTTTCGTAGTGACCCTGATTCCGGTTCACTATTTTTTGTTCATAAATGTAACATTTCACGAAAACTTACTTTGAAAACAGCTAACTGTAATTTGCCTCTCCTTCTGCTAAAGAGAGTACGTACCAGACTTGTGCCCAGTCGCTATTTGAATGCTTAAAAATGAATTGGCGCACTGAGATTGTACTGAGCAGAATAGATAAAGAATTCAGTACTTCTAGGTGTCATGACCTATAGGGTAATCAATTCCATATTCTTATTGTTATCGATGCTCACCAATTCCATATCAATACCGTTAGTATAAGACCACATGTGATGAGCGTAGTCCTCGACTCTCTGTCGAAGAGGATTGGGAATCTGGTAAAACCGGATGAACTCGCGCACTTTCTGCATCTGCGCGTGATATCGGGAGGTAGTCGAATACAGCCTCGCTATGATGGCAGCTACATTTCCAAATATGGCGGCGTAAAATAACGCTGCGGGGAGAAAGAGAATAATGTAATAAATGTTTTCTTCAGATGCTATTCTTTAACTCCTAAAATAACGATGAGTCTCAGAAAAAGAAACATTTGGCAAAAATCCGTTTTCAAATTTGTAGACCATTGAGTTAATGCAACTCTTCCGAGTTAGCTCTTGCTTTGTTTTGGTAACAATATCCGCTGGGTCTACACCTGAGTTGTTGATAATGAGTTAAAACACTAACACCTTAGACACTTCTAGTAAAGACTGGCAAAACTGTCAATACAGTCCACAGTTCAGGAAGCTACAATTTGGTTTCTTTATCTTCAAAAACTTGGGCTAAATGTTTTTAGGCTCTTCAATCAACAATCCGTTGTAGTACTTTCCATTCCACGTAATTTTTCGAAGTCTCCTTCAATCAGCGACAAAGTTGTTGACACTTTCCCATAGAGATCGCAATATCCTCAGTGGAATAAAATACTCTTTTCATCCCCAATAACCTTACTTCATCCCCTGTGCAATATTGTTTTTGGTTTTTAAAAGTTTTTCCTGTACAACATTAGATCAGGATATGGGGGTATAGCACAGGAGTACAGTTCAAATTCAACCCCATTTCTAAATACTTCCACAAACGTGCCTAATTGGATGTTATGTATTAACTACTTTTGTTGTTAATTGTAGCTTTGAGGGCAACAAAAAATGACGCACATCATGACTCCTCTAGGAAAAACAAACAAACAAAAAAAGGAATAATGAGATTTAACTTACATCCAATCAACATGACACAAATGGAGAAAATTTTCTCGGAGTTTGTGTTCGGTGACACGTTACCAAACCCTACACTCGTCAAACTACTTAGAGTAAAGTAAAGCGCCGTCACATATTTGGACTGCAAATCAGGTCCTGTTGCTGACATATCAGTCTTGTTGTATGGCTTTCCAAGCTGTTTACCCAATGAATCCAACCAGCCTATCGTGCTTCCACCGGCCTCAAGTTCCAAGTTGCCAATAAAATACCATATACAGGCCAGCCAGTGCGCGAGTAAAGCGAACGAACACATAAGGAGTAAGAGCACTGCCATTCCGTATTCTGAATAATGATCTAACTTGCGAGCGACGCGGACGAGTCGTAGGAGGCGAGCTGTCTTGAGAAGACCGATGAGTGTCGTTGTCTGTGGAAAACAATGCATAGAAACCGATAAGTTAGATCTATAGCTTTCAGACAACCCTGAGTACATGCAGTCTTTTAAGATGCAGTTATCATTGTAATTGTTAATATGTGTTGTCCAAGTGGAGGGCGTGGTGCACTATGGATGGAAAAGTACTAGTTCGAGCCCAGTGCCTCTCTCACTTTGGAGTATCATGAAAACCTGACAAACTTCTGGAGGGGAAGAGTGGGAGGGGCGTTAACTACTCCCTTGGGAGTACTTCCCGGAATTGTGCTAAGGATGATCCGTCAAGCTTACCAAATGCTGACCCTATATCAGACCATTCTCCACAACTATTTTCAACTTGGCCTCTCAAATTAATTTAGACCTGGGTCCACTTGTTCGACACCTGAAATTCTTCTAGGCTTATTTTCTGCAGATGCTCAAATTTTATTCCAATGCGGGATCTCTTCTTTGCTTTATATAGCTTATACAGGGTGCGATTAGCCTCAAGTACTCGGTTGAACTTGTATTGAGCGGTCACCCACGGGAAATGGCCGGTGACCGTGAGTGGTGACCGTTCAATACAGGTGAAACATGATACAATCAGTCCGTAATGACTCAGTAAAGGGTGAACACGAGCGCTAAGTAGAGGTAACCACTTAACAGAAAGGAAAATTATCGTGAGTACTAAATTTTACTAATACCGAGTGACCGCTTAATTCGGTGCTGCTTAATTCAGGTTCGACTGTAGGCGAGTCAGTGTCGTATGCAAGCGTAAGCTGTGTATTACAACTAATAAACCTCACCTGGTCTGTATCACCAATCATGATTAGCAACTCGAAAGGAATCGCAGCCACTAAGTCTATAAGAAACCACGTTTTACAATAATGTACAGCAATACGGCATGGATGACTAACAACCTCATCATTAATATCCACAAAAGTCGTTCGGAAGTTGATAAAAATGTCGATAATGAACATGACATCCACTATGTAATCAACGATGACCAGGGGGTCGGAGTAGATATCGACGGTACTCGTATTATCCCGGGTCTCCGGGTTCTTATTACGTTCCTCCTGTTGCTTGTCCCGGGTCAAAATAAACGAGGCCACATATGGCGTCACAATCGCCGTATAAATGACAAGAAACAAAATCAGCCAGTCCCAGAATGCCTTGAAAGGCGAATAGTGAAGAATTGTCCAGGGGTGGATTTTAGGAGCTTGGAGCTTGTACTCTGGGAGGACATCAGCACCCAGGGACATAACCTGCAAACACAAGAAGGGCCCTAAGTTGTTGGGTACCTGTGTGAAAATGACCTCTTTGGGACCACAGTTACAGTAACCGGGTATCATGATTGTGTTTGAGTTAGGCATATAAAGGCGATGAACCCAAAAGGCCATTTTTGCAACGCACAAAGCCTTTGTTTTGAACCGACGGTAAGAGCAAAGCTTTTGATAGTAAAAAGTTTCTTTCGTTCTCGTGCGAATACAACTCATTTTCGTAAGAAAGGATTTGCACTTAGCCCCATTCTGAAAGTGAAGGTTTATAAAACTCGGAAATGATCTATTCCAATCCAATTTTGAATTCGATTGCAAATGAAAGTTAAAGCATTTGACATTTGGCAATTCGGTTGAGTGTCGTAAAACAAAAACCAAACAATATACCGGAACCAATCGAAAGGAAAAGTCGAAATCACAAGCAGCCAATGAGAGCTAAGAGTGCAGACACGTATACGATCCGAAGGGCGGGAAAACTTGTGTAGTCTGGACTCGATTTCTTCAGTTTTGCGTCTGATTGGTCGTAAGGATGGCGCGCTTGCGTTTTTCACTCCAACCACAAAGCGACGCGAAGCGGAAACAAAGACATACTGGACTACCTTCTCATTCAACTGAAAATTGTTGTGAGCTAGGAACTATCTCTAAGCATAAAAATGTAAGTTGATAAATCCACGTAAAAACACATACCTGAGCGACTTTCTCTGTTTTTCTCGGATGAACAAGACCCTGAGAGCTGATGAGTGTTGAACCTCTGAAATCCATGTTTGTACCATCTAACCACGGCCTGTTACGAGAATTCCACAACGAAGACTCGGAAACGGCCGCAGAGAGCCGACCCTTCATCTCGGGAATATACAACATGTTCCCTGGTTTAGAAACCGGCGAAACCGAAGCCAGCGGTTTTATAAGCGATTCTGACTCGCTGCTTTTAACATTGGCTGAAATTTTCGACATGTCGTTCAACGAACATGACCTCAAACTGGGCGACTTGCGGAAAGTTTGTCTCTCAGGGGTGGAGGGAGGGGATGAATATTCTCTCACTGGACTGGTGACGGTGGACCCGGTCGGGGTAGGCGGATCCACACTCATGATTGGGATGAACGAGGGGGATTCTATTTCACTTGCGGCCCCACTTGACGTGAAGGTGAAGTGTGTTTCGGGATCACGGCTCTGGTCGTCATCATCATCCGTAGCTGCTGTATCGTAATCTTTCTTCTTTCGCCGAATGGCGGCGGGAATTCTGTTCACTTGTAGCGGAAGTTGGAAGCACGATTCTGCAAACAAAGCAAAGGAGAGAATTACCACCATGAATAATGTTGGGGACCTCCTACGCGAGTCTACACCAGAGTGAATGATTGTATATCAAAAGCCTATTTCAAGTCGAAGACATGTGGTGCCCGATTTCATGTACCTTGCTCTTATTGTGCACGGGCGCAAGGATGTAGTCGAGTGTTATTAATGCTGTTGGTGATTGCAATATCTTTAAATTAACCAGAGTGAAAGTTACACAATTTACCCTTGGTTTGAATTTTCAGAGAGAAAACGCCGTCGTTCTAAATTATCCGCCGTGGTGTTGACTGAGTCTAATTCAAACAGAAAATTTCCGCTCTCTTGCATGAAATCTTGTCGTCAAGAATGCAAAAGCAAAACAGCGTTTCAGTGTTTATGCCACCGGCTGAAATTTCATTCCAAGGTCATTACTTCAAGACCCTTCGTGTCGTGCGGTGTGTAAACAATTAAAGTATAGAACGCCTTTCATATATCGTAACAATACTGAAACAGGTGAAAGCCGCGTTGGTCTAAACACTACCTTTTGCAAAACATATATTCTGACAAGACGGTAGCCAACGAGCATGGTCGAGAAAAGAAGAAATTGCGACACAAATAAACAATTGACACGTTTGGGGACGGAAAAAATCACCCCCTTTCTATTTTTTAACGGAATTACTCGCGAAAAACGACAACCATCGCTTTAACAAATGTAGCCATGACCATCCAGCATTTAAATCACTTGATCGAAGCTGCAAAATCTGTAGCGCAAAATGTACACTTGACTGTTCTCTAAATTTCATGACAGTAACTTTTGCTAAATTTTACAATATAAGTTAAAATATTCGATAAATAGCCTTGCTTTTCGCAAAATAAATCAAAAGAGGCGAAAGCAAGGATAGAAAACACTTAAATAGAGCGTCTGAACGTTCACGGCCTGTCGCCGTGAAGAGCAACTATGTAAATAACTGATCGCCAAATTTTGGTTAAGTTCGAACCACAACCATCCCCTTCAATACTGCACGCCACTAAAATACAACAAACATTTAACGGAGAATTAAGAAAATAAGATACATCTCATACCGCTAAGTCCAAGTGCTTATATGTTCCGTTTTGATCTGGAATTTTTGTCTATACGAGCGACTTCGTCGGAAGATAGCTTTCCCGGTAAGACCCAAATTCGGCGTGGCACCTTTATTAGTCCAAATTGAATTTATTTTTTCTAACAATAAGTAAATTTCTCAAATTTGTATTGGCTGGTCGTTCAAAGGCCACTTTTTTTGAGGCTGACAGCTGAAATATCATTTGAACACAACATGGTGGATTTTGAAAAAACAGAATTAGCAGTAGACTTTTTCATGCGTCGTGTTTCTAGCAGTTTCTTAACGGAGAACGACTGAGAAAGGTCGCATAACAAACCAAATCTCAATACCAGCGAAAAACGTTCAGCCCGACTCGTCAAAAACTGGTTGGGCTCATCATAGCAAAATTCACCTGCTGCTAAAAGGCTTCCTGAGAAATCGAATCAATGTTTATTTAATCAAACCACTAAAAGCACAAGAAAGAGAGGAAGACGTATCGTTGGGAATTTCTAAACGCGAAACGATCACAACATACTTCTTTAGTAAGTCGTATTTTGATTAAACGATGCAAGGCAAACCAAAACATGAGTGGAAACGTAAACTCTATCTTCAAAGCAAGCCAATCAAATTGTAAGCACGGCCTCTGATTTGTTGTTATCGAGGAAGCTTTGGACTGAAGGGCCTATTTCATTAATCCAATGTTTTTATTTCCCATTAAAATCTGTAAGGCACTACCGATAAAGTATATTTCACGCTAGTTGGTTTTGAGTCGATGTGTGAGAAAGAGCCAGATGTTTCGCCACTAACAAAAGCACCTAAATTTGAAGGTCAAAAAAATAAACTCATGGTCTGAAGTTTTCTCAACACTGAGGATACATCGAAAGTTATATAATGAATTCCCACAGCGAGAAAACGAAATAATTTTGAAACTTCCCATCACTCTTTGGCCCGTTGCTGAGACCTATCAATCATTCGTTAGAATCGGTCGCTTTTGTTACCACGAGATTGAATTATTTCAAATTTATCCCGAGCCCCTTTTTAAAGGTCCTTCACGAAAAGTAAATGTTAACTTCTCTTCTAGCTTCTGAATTTCATTTCAGAGAATTAGCCTAGAGTACAAGAAGTTCAGATCGCAAGCTTCCGTGGAACCAAAAATTTGTACTTTAAAGTCCAATAAGTATTAAGTTTAAAGATTTTAAAAGTTATTAGTAAATATCCGCATTCAGATACAACACTTCAATTCTACTTCAGTGCCGCTCTACCGAGATCCGGACGAGAACAGCTGAATAAACATACAGAATTAAGATATATTTTAGAGGATTTTTATCATCTTAAAGAATTATTGTTCATGAGGGCGAAATATTAACCTATGCCGACTTAATCTTGTTACATGGTCCTTCCAGTAAAAAATTGGCCCCTTTAACACAATGCAAAGATCATTAAAAAAAGCACAGATGACATTGGTTTCACAAAAATAAACAAAACTGGACGACGAACCAAATTGATTGCAATTTCAAAGCTCGGTCCGTTTCGTCACGAGCACATTTTCAAATAAAACTGTGGGTATATTAATCCGTTCGCTCGGTTAGATTTAGTCAGTTAAGCACGTAAGAATCCATCGAATTTTGCGGCAGTTTTTTATTCAAACCTTCGAAATTTCCGTCACCTTTCGACAAAATGGGATCATGGATTCCAATGTAAAGATAATAAACATTTTTCTCACATATAGGGAGCCTTGGATTATTTTCTGCTAGCCCTAATTAAAGTGACTTTTAAAGCTAAACCAGTGCAATCTAAATACACTTCTAAATTATCTTATCACGAAGAAATGAAACGCTGAGATGGAAGCATCAAATGCTGACGATGAAATAATAAAAAATAACACTCTCTTAAGTTCCATTTGAAGCGAAAAGCTTTCTATATCGGGAAATTAAATTATTGAAAGAAAAACCTTTCCGTTTCATCTACATAGCATACCACATCGTTGTCTGATCTCGTTTGCGCTCAGCGTTCGCAGCGATGCAAAGAAGTGTTTTCAGAAATTCTCGATCCCGGTCTGACTCTGAATGGCAGATTTAAAACTGGCATGTAAATAAATTCTTACCTTTTTAAGGACGTAAGCACCGAGATAAATGGGCAAAAATCCTCTGTTAAAAGCAGTATATATCCTTGACAGTTTGTATGCAAATTATTAAATAAATGTTTGGCTATAGCTGCTTTTAAATTATCATGTGGCAATCAATCTAAGCCAGTTCGCCTCACAAAATTAATTTTCTCAGAGATAAAACTGACACTCGACATGAAAAATTGAACGAATTGATTTCAAAATCGTCAGCCCTTCTCAGCGACAGTCGTCAAACTTTTGGTTTCATGGTATATCGTGCGAGTCTCTTTTTCACTACGGTCAGAAATAAATTTCATGAATCAACGTAGCCAAAACAATAATAACAATAACGCTGAAAGGTAAACAATATGTCAAAAGAACAGGATAAAGAATAGAACGATAAAAGAAAGAACATTAAGTTCACATGCTGTTAGCCGCAAAATTGAAGAAATGAAATCGAAGAGATTCAAATCAAAATTACTTGAGTTTCAATCGTCAGTCTTCTCCTTTACGAAAACTTTTCTGTTTGGCATTTCACCCCTCGCTTTTTCGTTCTCCTAAACTTGCAGTCTACAGAAAAACAAAATTCCGAATACAAAGGGAAGCCCCTTCCTCTCGCATTGAAAGAAGCGCGAAAAATTCGTGACAAAAGCGATCCGCACCCGGTTGTTCGAGGGGTGGATTACCCTTTCAACTGAATAAATAATCTCTATCTGACGAATACTGCACAACGGTTTGTTGACACGTATCCGCTGGATAGCGATTTATACATTGCTCTATCTTCCTTTCAAACAACTGATCTCAGTCCTCTCCCACTCCCCAAAACAAGAGAATCCACGAAAACGACGAGCTCGCCACCTTCCCTTTCATTAAAAATAAAAAAAAATAAAAAAAAAATGGCGGTGAAAATAAAAATGTAGTTTCATCTTACATTAAAAAAGGTTGTAGCTATAAAATCGGAGCTTCCCCAGCAGGATTTCTGAAAAAGGCAGAACCGTCAACATCTGAGGGGACGGTAACAATTATGTAAGATATTTTCGTTTTTTCTCAGCCAAAAGTTTATATCTACTATGATGCGAGGGGCAACGTGAAATACGTAAGAAAATCTATAGATCACATACCAAGGAAGGAAAGAAACCACAACAATCAAACACTTAGGAAAATGAGGAGAAGTACTGGGTAAAAACAGACCGCTCACGGAAATTCAATCAAAATTATCAGGAAAGCTCTTTAGTGCAGGAACTACGACAAATCTTGTTACTTGTTTAAACAGATCTATTCTCTTTGATTTATCTGAAAAAATTTCTAAATTCTTACTACCATGATAAACATCAAGTGAAAGGTAACTCATGCGCACGCGAGACACGTGGGAAATTATCAAAAATAAAAATGAGCCTATTCTGGAAACGAAACGGAAAAAATGCGATGAAAAAAAATGAACACATGACGTATACACTTAGATTTCGGCTGTTTCATTTCCTTTATTCTCGAGACCTTCGTGTGTGATTCAGAGGCGATATTGTAAGGAGAAATAATATGCTGGGAAAAGAAATGTTTATCATATCACATGGAATTTTTCACAGAATTGTGAGAATAAAAAGACAGACTAATGACTTTTCATTGCCTTGAAACACTACGTTAAGTCAAGAGCCAAGGTTAACCTGATAAATGAGGACAATTAATCGTAGTGTTGTCAATCTTTTCCCCCACCCCTCCCCTCTCCTTCCTTCTGACTGTCGCTTGCCCCTTAATATAAACTTCTTTCTCTTCCTAACCTTCCTTCGCTGAAAAAATCAAAGATTGCGACCAGCTCTAATTTTCCCTAAAAGCAATTTTGAGCACTCGTTTGCCAAAATCACACTTCCTCTGCACGCTACACGTGTTTTCTTGTCTCGAGTTTGTTTCGCTCTCCTTGGATAAAGATCTACGCAAACCCTTAGAAAAGTTACCCAATTTCAATATTTTGAAATTCAGTGTAACAAAACAAATCTTAACCCAACGCTCTAAAGAATAAATAAGAGAGTAGAGCCTCACATAGGGGTCTTTTGTTTCGTAAGCCAAAGAGCAATTTGGAACTTGGGGGGTGTGGGAGGGGTGGGGGGGGGACAGGGCTATCTTGTTGTAAATAAAATAAATGCATAACTTTGTCTCTTGTTCAGATTTCCTAAAATTAGTGTCCTTTACAAAGTTTGTTGGCCCTAGCAAACTTCTGCAGTTCCAAAAGTGTTCAATGTGTACATAATTGATTTATGAGACTACTTGAGCAGGCTGTGCTCAAAGACTAGCCTGGCAACATGTTCTTTTGCCAATCCTGATTAATTACCTTGTTAAAAAATTACAATACTGTATATTTTCCCCAACCAATCTCATACTGCACAAGCAAAACATGGGGTGACACCCCCCCCCTTTTTTTGGAAGTGGGGAGGGAGTACAGCATCTTCCCTATCCCTCCTCCTCAGCCTCTTTTACTTTGACTTGAATTTTTAAAGTATTGAAATTGGGACATTGACAGTAATGGCAATGCTTATTTTCAAGCTGCACTGAGTAGAGTAAAATTAGCACACAAATCAAGTACAAATATCTGGCAGTAATGTATGGTTATTTGGACAGTTGATTATTTTGCGCTGTAGGTTGGCTAAGCTTGGGTGTTGTTTCAAAGGAATGCATATAAAATAATAAATAACCTCTTCGACCTTTTGGAGGGTAGTATTGTTGAGTATGTTTACTGGTTATTTTTATTAAAATACCACACAACTCAAACAAAATACTCAGTGTTACTACATTGCAACAAAACATCTAATAGAATATATTTATATTGAACAAAAACAAATCGTACTTGTAGAGGTGATATCTTCTTTGTTTGGTGACCATGTTACATCCTCGTGATTGACTATGTACATAACAGCTGTTCCTTCTTCATTCTTCACTGGTGCAATCAGAACAGAACACAGGAATGAGCTTCCTGCAGGAAAAATAAAATAAAACCTCCATTTAAGTTCACATGTTACATGGTGATGACCAATTTGAAATCAGCATTCTTATTTCACTGCATCTTAGATGGATCAACTGGACGATAACCTGGCAGATGAATAATCTAAGATGATTAACTGACTGCAATTGCCAAGCTTCAACAATTTAGGGGAAAATATCATATATATTAACATTGTGCAGTAATAGAGTATTGAGATAAAAAAAAAGCAATGAACACCCATTGTTGATGCCAAACTTGTGACAAGAGGAGTACTTGATTAGAGTAAAGTTTGTACACTGGTCAATTAACAGGCCTGGGACAGGGCAGGAAATTGATAGAATGGATACATGTATTAAATATGAATCAAATCTATTTCAATAAGAAACTTCACCTCTTTACACTCTGTGTATACATACTCCTCTCTAGTCCGAAGTTATAGGATTTGAGCCCTAGCTGTGCCAAATCTTTTCTCTTCTATTTCTATTTTCTTTTCTTTCTCTTTTTTTTTCATTTCAATTTAAATTCTTCTTCAAAGGATTTCTTAGGTATGTTTGGAATAAACACACATTTATGAGCACTTCGACAATGTAGCTCTTGCATCAAATCAATAACAATGTTGAAATGCAGAGGTGAGACCCTGCAAAAAAAATGGCAGACTATTGTCTCCAATAGTCTGCCATTTTGAAAACTGCAAGGGGTTTTGGGGGAGGTTTGCTGACTTGCTGACACCATAACATAGTGTCTACAGCTTTCCTAGAAGGACAGCACAGTAGACACAAAAATATTCTTAAACTGAGACTTGACTAACAAAAATGTAATTGTTAAATATAAAATGAAAAGATGTCCGACTTTGAAAAATGTACGCCAGAATATGAAAATCCTACCTATTTTCTTTCTGGTGAAGGATAAATGCACTTCTATTTATCAACTGCCAAGAACAAATTCTATGACATATCACCAACAAAGACCTTCAAAGGCCATTGTTTAGAATTTATCCTGTATTCAAATAACAGCTCTACCTCAGGTCCACAAATCATTGATTCATGCAATTCCAGAGTTCACTGACAAGAATTCTACTCTTATAAAAAGACAACTTCTGTTATGTTAAAGTTTTCCTATGACATTTCCTACCAAAATGTTTTCTAATCTACCCTATTGTAAACATTATTTAAATAATGGTCCTTCGATTTCTTGTTCTTCAGTCTTATGCCAGTTCCCATGCTCTTTTTTTGGAAAAAAAGGGATAAAACAAAATTTGAAATATCAAAGAACACTAATTGTCTTTTAACATGTTAAGAATTTTTCAATTGAGTGCTAGTGCAAATGAGTTCAAGTCAAACTAAAACTGGCCTGTATATCAAAATGTAAATTTATATCAAAAACAGTTCATAACACAAAACAAATGTGGGTCTAGATCTGCTTTTGCTGTTTTCCAATACAATGCATTGCTACATTTGTAACTGCTCTTGACCTTCTATAAAAAGTTCAATTTTCACTCAGTGCCACTATACCGCAAAATAATTTGATTGTGGAAATAGAATTTGATTATGCAGTACATGTTTACTTAAACAAAACCTTTTTTCTTTTTTTCTGGTCATCAGATCCCAGTTTTTAATAACTTAAACTCTAAATGACTAATTTTCCTTTGAAGGTTTGAGTAACACCGGAACAACCTACATGTACTTGAACATGCAGAATCTCAAGAAAACATGGCCTCATTTTGAGTGAAAGGAACTTTAATTGCTTTAAAAGGAGGGCTTTATATAGAATTGATAATTCTATCATATGGTATTAAAAATTTCAAATTGGATCAAATGTCAGATTTAAGTAAGCTACAAAAACATGCATCACCAGGTTGAAAACCATTTGTTCAAGCGAACACCTCTTTATCCTTTTTTAATTATCATTAGTAATACATTTTTTCGGTATTACTTGCTAATCCATTACACATAGACATTTTTTCTTAGAGCTAAATGCTCAAGTTAAGAGGTATTTCAAAATTATACACTTTAAACATATTTCAAACTTGAAAGATTTTATTACTAATCCAATTCAAAATTTGGTGCCAGACTGACTGACACTTTTCCACAAATATGGACTGTTGAGGTCTCTCAAGCCCTCTTTCCAGAAATTCAATTCAGTGTCATCAAACTTAATTCTATTTGTACAGTTCTTGGAAAACATTTAGGGATTTTTCACCTTTAAAATGAAAAAGTATGAATATTAATAATTTCTTCTGTAGGATTAACACTAGATCATTAATTTACAAAATTTCACTTTCTTTCCTGTTATAACTTTGCAGGAAGCCAAATTCTCGCCTCTAAGCTTGCTAAAAAATTGAAGTAATTGAAAAAAATAAAACAACAATCACTTACAGCTGTTTTTCTCTTTAATCAGATAACCAAACTCCGTCACACCACTAAATAAAAAAAATAAAAAAGATACTTCTAAAACCTTTTTGCCTTTTTTAAATGCAAATCTCTCTTGGCAATATACAAAATATCATGGTCAAAAACTGAAATTGTACATCAAGTTGAACTCCTAAATTCTCTAAACGGCTCCTCAGAGGTTGTAGCCAGGTGCCTGAATAAACAGAACCGTCGTTCTAAGACATTTCGGAAATTTCAAACACGATCAAATATGAAAAGCAATATTACAAAGCAGCAAAATCACTCTGTTACTGCAAAAGGGGATTCCACGCTAGTACGAACTTTACAAAAAACGAAAGCGGCAGCAAAACAACTTTAATTGAGACCGGAAATTCACCTATTCAAGAACATCGTTTTGCAAATTGCACCCTAAACGAAGCATAGCAAACTTCAAGTGATCAATTAGAAGGCATCACTCTTAATGATAAGACATGAATCTAGAATTATTTGTAAACACGCAGCATGGAACATCTGAGAATCTATGGAATTAAAAAACATGACAAAAGCGTCGCAATTAAGAGAACACACATTTGAGGAAGACAATTTAGCAATTTAAAATAACACATGTTTATGACATCTGCCTTCCTAATAAGATCTTACTTACGTGTATCTGCAACATTTGATTACCTCAAAAAGTATTATGAGGCCAAATGGATCGATCCTTAAGTGAACCAAATCTGTCTTCTTTACTATCGCAAATTAAGGAATGTCAAGCCAGTAAACACAGTTAATTTTACTGTACACTACTTCTAAAATAAATAGAAAAACATTGACTGTAATTTAACCCTGGCGCGCCAGACTCAGGTAGAGGATAATACATCGAGAATTTTGATGAGCGTTACGATTATTGGTGAAATCTTTATTAAACGCGATAAAGATTGAAAAAAGGCGTAATAATCGATCCCTAAACGACCCAGGTACAGCTGCTTTTCGACGAATGGTCCAATATAGACGGCACACGAGTGATTCTTAATTTAATTCAAGCTTACAAACAACGAGTTACCGCCAACAGAGCTTAGTGCAGTGAAATTGAAAATTTATCATTTACTCTGCGGGTGTATGTCACTTTTAGCGGCGATCATATCCAAGTTATAAAATATTTATTGTATTCAACGCTATCCAAACCAACGTTGTGTTGACTTTTTTTCGCCAACGTTCTTTCTCACCCTAATTAACAGACGAACAGAAAAAATTTGACAAGTTTCAGCTAGCGCTACCATTAGCACATGCCGCGGCTTTTCAACCACTTTTTTGCTTTTGTTTCCCGATAACTCTTTGCTCTGTTAGAAACGTCGATGCACCTTTCTGACCTTACCATCTTTTCTGTAATAGAGGATCTCCACGTGTTTCTCTTCATGTCCCCTGAGAGCAGCTTTCACCTCTCGAGCAGAGTACTCGTTCGTCTTCTCGCCGCAAAGGAAGTCACAACTGCAATGTTTTTGAACCAATTCCGCTCGACTATACCCTGTCAGCTCACAAAACCCGTCGTTGCAATAAATAATAGGAAGATCGGCCACTTGAGCGTTACCCAGGACAAAGTTTCGGTCCGCTACACGAATTAAAAGCAATATGAATTAAAAATAACAGCTCACTATTGTTGAGAAGTGAAGTTTTGTATGAATACATGTAAACGAAACGCCTGTATATTTTCTAACAATAAACTTACGCGACCCGTCGAATTTCTTGATAATTGTTTGAATAAAGATGTTCTGAGGGGCCACGAGGCCTTTTTTCACCGGCATTACGAGGAAAGAGAGATCCCTTACAAACGAACATTCATCGTAGCTCGGAGGCAAATGTGTTTTACACATGAACGACTCTCCAAATACTCGCTTCTGATTGGCTGCCGTCAAATATTGTGTAAACATTAGCAAAACGAGCATTTCATATTTCTCTCGTGATTATCACGTCGAGTCCGACTGGAAGTTTCTGAACATTTTTTAATTACGTTTTCATTTAAATAGGAAAAAAATATCTAAAAGCATATAACGGAGCTTGAAACGTTTCGAACGGATTATGGTAATAAGCGGGGCCCTTTCTTGTGTCAAGTGTCGGAATCATTGTTTTCTCCTAAGAAGTTTGGCCGGTATACATAAAAATGTGTTTTAAAATAATTACAAGCGGTCATTTTCCGAGGCAAAGTAATTATCTCGCTTATTCTTTGCCTTGCATTACAACAAGCAGACTGTCTATCCATGGTGTCGAGAAAAAAATATTCACAGTCAAATGTATATAGTTTCATGAATAGATTGAAATCTATTCTTAACTCGAAGAAATGGCTATTACAAAGTCAGGTGCAATCACGCTGTTTCGTGACACGAGCACACTCTCTTTCTTTCTGTGTAAACAAACCGACAAGAGTGCAATTTGCCAATTTCTAATGACACCGAAACCTTTCTGTCTTCATTGAAATGGTGTATGGTTGTATTTCTCGATTGCGCAAGATCATGTCTATAAATTAGACAGGAAACTTGACGTTAGTCATTGTAATTAACATTAAGAGCATAGTTATTATGTTATCCTGCTAAAATGTTATGAGGATTGATTGCAAGTTATTTCTAAAATAAATATGAAATATAAAAATTTTCTTAGTAATCTGATATTTATTTGCCGCCCTTTGATATGCCTCTTCTTTTCCCATTGATCCTCGATTTAAAAAAATTGTAAATAATTTTATGCGCATCAATTTCATATATATTTTTCTAAACCGATGTACGCTGAAAACAAATAGGAATCGGTACCACATTCACATGATATTTAAGTGGGGGTAGGGAGGTTGAAAAAAAATGCTGTAACCATTAGATAGTTCAGTTTTGTTTCGTTGTGAAATTATAAAAAAAACTTTAGCCTTGCCATTCAAAAACATTCAGGATAAAAGGGAGGGGGACTCACGCACGTATTTCCACGCGTGTTACGTGGGAAGCTCGAAGAGATCTGGAACTAAGTCTAGACGCAAATCAAAATGGCGGACGAGAGTGGATATGTACAAGCACGTTTTGTAACGAAACAAACCAAGTAAGAGCAATCATCTGTAGATTTTTGGGAGACTATGGCTCGTGGATATGTTATATATAGGAACGCATGTTTTAAAGCAAGGAATATGAGCATGATTGCACCTCACTGTTCAAAACTGCACAGCAGTACGCACTGTCAACAATTCTGCGATCCACGTGCGGGATTGAGATCGAATGCACACTTCACCAACTACTTCCGATTTTTTGTATGGATTTGTGATTCATTATCGTTTTTATTAATTTGAGCAAAATGAGCATTTTAAGATGTATTTCTTTGGGCTATACTTAAGAATACGGTTTGATTTCATGAGATGTCCAATGTTATTTGTCAAGATGGTCTGTGGTAAATGTCTTATTTCCCATACACAGATATGCTGTCCCAGAATCACCGTTTTCTGTGCCGGTGAAAGTTGGATCACAAGAGCTCAATGAACTTATCAATAGTTTACTTTCATCTCATGGTAAATAAAGATAAGTGTGTAATGTTCGCTTAGTTTCACGGATACTTCGTTTTATCATATGTGTATCCAAAAGTACAATTATACAGAATGCCCAATTACTGGACTGTATTTCTTTCAATTAGTTGCAAAGGTTAAGTGGTTCTTAAAGATATAGCCTTTTAAATTGCTAAAAAAAGGCTATGCGGCTATGTGTTTTGTTTCCACATGTGTTTGTAACACTTTCTGAGGGATACAGTATACCTTCGCGGCCGGGTGTCCTTCGCGAAAAAATCGTTAACGCGCTATTTGAAGGATATCCAGAAAAAGCTATACATCTATGGAGAGGTTATGAAATGCACTATCCGGCAAATCTTTTTCCTTCTCAGCTTAATCTAATCGTGAGCTGACTGGGGTGCGACAATTCGAAACAGACGGTGTTTCTTTGAACGAATTAATCGGGCATCAAATGTCATCACACACATCAAATATCTGTACAGTTTAATCCTGAGGGGTCAGTCTTCAAGACTGAGCGGGGATTTTTCGATATTCCTCTTGGTTGCTTTGCAATTTTTCTGTCAAGTTTGCTTACCAAAATTTCAACAGTATGCTTTACATTTCTCTTAAACGTCATTGTGGGAGATAAATTAGGAAAAACGGATATCCCTCACACAGTTTGTTTTGTCGATATCGTGGGAGTCTTCAAGGCAATCTCTTCAGTTTTCATATCCATTAATTTGTTGAAAGAAGATGCACTTGCATCAAATAAAAGTAGGTTTTTTTTGGCTTTAAAAGTTTTGCAAACCTTTCATGCTACTGGGTAACCACATGTCAAGTTATGTCAACACTCTGATTACTAGAAAATTCAACCCTCAATAGAAACACAGAGGTCTCCTGGAGAGTCTCAGGAGACTCGCAGCAAAAATATATGTTGTGGGAAAAGTATTAAGAGGTTGTGTGTGGCAGATCTTTGATTAATTCCGCTTGCCGGCAATTTCAATCTCAAGGTTTAAGGAGCTTGAGCTCTCCAGAAAATTGATGGTTGCTGATTGAGTGCGAGCAGGGAAGGTGCGCAAACCGCCCACTCATATCCGTTTTGCCATTCATCATTAAATTTCTTTAATTTCTTGCTTTAACCCCAAGGCTTTGGTTTGGCTTTCATTGGAGCGCTCTTCTCGTTTCTACCTTCCTCCAATCACAGTCTTGTTTAACACGCAACTGAAATCAGTAGATGTTTGTGAAATTCAAGAACCATGATGTTTTGCCAACATAAACATCTAAGGAATCATTTCTGTTGACACATCATAATTGGTTATTCACACTTTGGCAGACAAAAGAATGCAGTTCAAAAATACATTTTTATAAATAACTTGTGGGTTTCCACATTTTACAAACATTTTCTATAGAAATTATAGGTAAAACAATCATGTTTAGTTTGACTTGAAAGCAAAATTGAAAAATTGTCCCTTGAAGGCCTACATATAATTTATAAGTGTTGAATATATGGTATGAATTACTCAGTTCTGTAGGCAGCATACATAATGACAGTAATGAATATATCATCTGGTAAATCATCAAAATAGTGCCTTTTTTCAAATGAGAATAATATGATCTTGTGGCCCACCTGTACTGTGAAAAACCACCCCTTCTCTCTTTGTTGTCATAGAGAGCTGCTCAGATTTATCAAACTATGTGCAAAGATTTATGGCAGTATTGAAATTAAACATTTAGACCATACTTACTTTTTCATTTCAAAACATGATGAATTTGGAATAAACATGTAACTTCAAGTGCCAATGAATGAGTTGCCAGTAATCGAATCCTTGTGTTTGGGCATAGATTTCTGGGATTGCCATGGGAGAAAACATTGCAACTTGGCTAGAGGGAAAAGTATGGCCAAAGGTTGTTCTGACATCCAAATTTACTATTTGGAAGAGATTATTGCTTTTTTGGCACTGTTTTATCAGAAATGGATTTGGGTAATGCTGCAACATGGGAAGTGCAAGTTTTTGTTTGAACAACCATGAAATTCATGTATGTAGTAAAATCTACCAATTAACTGGACTTCATGTGCAAGGTTTATTTTGAATTTGATATTGTGTAATGGTCTTGAAATTTAGAAAAACTTACTTTAAATTGCTAAGAAATAGCTTAAAAAAAGAGCCTTTTAAGTTTTTTGTATGTGTGTTAAGTCTACTTCTAGCTTTTTCCTTGGCTTGGTAATACAAAAGAGCACATAAGAGCTACCTCGAGGTAGTGGGATATTGACATGGTGTGCTTGGGCATTAAATATTATCATGGTACGTTAAAGTGATTTTAAAAGCACCTACACTGTTTCTCTGTTGTGATCAATGAGAATGAACCAGTGTTTATAATCAGCTCAAAACTGAACCCTGAGGATGAGTAGGTACAAATAGGTCACTTAAGGAGTGATGCACAACTGATAATATATCCACGGTGCTTTTCTGACAAGATCCTCCAAGGATTTCAAGGAGAAAAGTTGCTGCTCAAAGACCTTTGGATTTTTCTCTAACAAACTATCACTTGACCGATGGATATCCTCATGTTTTTCCATGGCTTATTTCATTCTTTCAGAGAGTAACAGCTATGCTGTTTAGGGAAACAACCTTTCGCCATACATTCTTTCCAGCGAGTTGCAATGTTTGCTCCATGGCGATTCCAGAAATCTGTGTACAAACACAAGGGTCCAATTACTGGCAACTCATTCATTGTGCCACTACAAGAACTCAACGACTAGTTCCAAAATACTAAATCACTTTTTGTTTTGACATTCTTGCACATATTTTATGTCAGAAAAATGATGAAAAAAACCACAGTGTTGAGAATTGAAATAAGTACCTCACTCATCTTAGCCTTAGATTTGAAATTTGTAAGGATATTTGTAATGTGCATATAAGTTGTGTTCTATCAACCAGCAGTGAAGATTGCATTAAACCCTTACACTGCCTTGGGTAACCAAGAAAAAATTTCTCCTTACATCAAGCAGATGAGTGAGAAGAAAGAAAAATATCACTTAGGGGATTGTTAGTTGATCCAACACCAAATTCCCTCAACTCACACCATAAGAACTGTATGGCAGACAGTAGGAAGAATTACTAAATGAGATCTTGGGAATGAAAGGATTAATGTGGCAGGGTACTCAGCAGTTGAGGTAGATTATAGGAGGTATTTTTGTTTGAAAGTAATTGAAATTGAATATATATATATATATATATATATATGGAAGTCTGCAAGTCGATTTTCGCGTGAAACAGTAGGGGAATGTAGTTGCGTCCTTTTTTCCTTTCATAATATTTATATATATATATATATATATATACACATTGCTCT